AACACACTGCTTTTTAAACAGCAGTTTGTGAGCCGCCTACTATCTTCCAACCCACTCAAAACTCTTTCAAAGCTATTAGTTATTGCATTTTAGCTGTCCAGTTCCTTACAATGACCATCCCCATAAATGTTTTGTGCCACATGTAAAGTAGCAAGTCATTCATTTTCTGTTTTCAACATAATTTATACTCTGGGTTTGGGCTCAGAAAATGAGGAGGATAAACTTTATTGAAGATAATTGCAATTGGAAAAATAAAACGAATTGATTGGATGACATTAAGCAAGTCAATTCATTACATTGATCTCCAGATTCCTCATATGTAAAATTAATTGATTGACTCATTGTTCTAAAGAACACGTGATCAAATAAAATAAGTATACAGATGTGTATATTAAAAACAAAGACCTATATAAGTGCCGGGATACAGCACGATTATTCTGAGTGTCACTTCCCGTGTGTTCCACAAAGTTGGGATGATGCACGATGGAAAACCCAGGGACTTCAAGTAGGTTAATCTCAGCGTATCAGCCCAAACCAGCAGCCCTGTCACCTCTAGCCAGTAAAGCTCTAGAAAGAGGTAAAAACAGATCCATTACCTGGCTCGTTCACCCCCCTGCTCTCCATCTCCTTTCCACACACTTTCCTGGTCTAGGGCTCATTCCTCTACCTTTCAGTCTCTGAGCCAGAACTTTGCCTGCTTTGTCATGGCAATGACAACAGTTACTGAGACCTACAGCAAAACAGAGGGAAATGAAGAGATATAGAATACAGTGGAATCTCCAAAACATTTTCCAAATGAGATTCATTAGTTCAACAGACACTGAGTGTGTCTGAAGCACTCCTCTGGTGCTTAGCATAAACCAAGGTTCTTACCCATAAAGAACTCAGATAATTTAAAAATATATTCAATCAGTAAATAAACTCCATGGTATGTTAGAATAAGATGAATGCTTTGTAAGGGTAAGACAGTATGGGGAGATTAAGTGATTAGAGATAAGCTTAAGAATTAAATGCACTTATTTATTTTTATTTAGCAAATATGGCTGAATTCTTACTATGTACCATGACTCTACCAGGAACAAGTCATAGCATCCCAATGCCTCCTGGAGTACACGTTATCATGGGAAGACATTATATGTGCCTGAAAGTTGTTAGGAGGTCATGTCAAGAGCTTACATCTCGATACCTTAAGCTACATAACACAGAAACAGGGACTGATAGCAGACCATGCCAATGTAACCTACACTATGGAACAGAGTTTCTTGTGCTTTTGTATAATAAAGCTTTTCCCCTCCCTCTATATTCCACCTTCCCATTCATATCTCCTTGCTCCTGAATGGCCACTCACCAGCCGACCACGTGGGCACTTATGGCACAAATGTTTACCAGACGTATGGCGCCTCTGGCCAGTTCACATATGAATTTGATGGAGATGAGCTGTTCTATGTGGACCTGAAAACGAGGGAAACTGTGTGGCGGCTGCCTGAGTTTAGCAATTTCACCAAGTTTGAAACTCAGAATGCCCTGCAAAACATTGTTGTGGCAAAAAGAAATTTGGACACCTTGATAAAAGATTCCAACTTCACACCTGCCACCAATGGTGAGTGTCCCCAGTTCTGTCTCTTCTCACATCCCAGGTCTCACCTCCCTTTTCCCTGGAAGAGCTGCTCTTCCCAGCATACTATAAATTCTTCCCCTTTCTATTTCATTTCCTACCAGATACCCTGTCCCCATCATATCCATTTACTCTTTAAGCATCCCTCCTCCTGGTTCCATAAAGTACTCCTTATAATCCAATAAGAGGACGTTCCCAGCTTCTTAGCCTAAGAAGTGTGCGCGCACACACACACACACACACACACACACACACACACACACACAGTGTCCTGTGCGTTCCCAAAGAGAGGAAAGTGTTCCGAGCTTCATAGTGATCCAAAGGAAGAGGACGGGTCAGGATGTGAGGTGAAGATGATGGCATCCCTCTGAAGTCACACAATCACATTAACCTTCCTCATTCAGAAGATGGAAAAGGCAAGGTAGAAGTTTTGGACAGTCCTGCCCATAAAAAAAGAAACAGTGAAAGAATTGATCTAATAAACAGGTGGAAAGGGGGAAGCTGTTGCTTACTGTAAAAATGAGTCTGAAAAGACACAGGGAATACCCACTAACAGCTGGGGAGCTGGGACCGGGAGGGCCACCCAAACTAATTAGGTAACTCAGGACACGGGTGTCCCAAATTCAAACCAGTGTTTTGTCTTCATTGTAGAAATTCCTGAAGTGGCTGTGTTTCCCAAATCTCCCGTGACCTCGGGTATTCCCAACACCCTCATCTGTCTGGTGGACAACATCTTCCCTCCTGTGATCAACATCACTTGGTTATACAATGGACACCCCGTTGCCGAAGGCGTTGCTGAGACAACCTTCTACCCCAAGAGTGACCACTCTTTCCTCAAGCTCAGTTACCTCACTTTCCTTCCCTCGGCTGAGGATTTCTATGACTGCAGGGTGGCGCACTGGGGCCTGGAAGAGCCGCTCCTCAAGCACTGGGGTACGCCCTCATCCCTTCATTGTCCGTACACCCTCAGTTCTGTTCCACGTCACATGGTCTTGTCTTAGAGCCCCTAAAACCCCCCAGGGCCCACAGGTTTATTTTCCCCGCAACTGAAAGTTTTCTAATAAATTGAACTATACACCTTCTCCCAAAAGTCCAGATGTCTTGGGATTTCCAAAACACACACATTGGGTCACTTTATACAACACACTGCATACAGCGTCCTTTGGACCAGGGAATTCTTTATTCTCAAAGCTGGAGAATCCAGTCCCAATGTCAAA